TGTGCAACAATGAATGAATGGGGAAAAGATTAAATGGAAAGAATATGCTGTAAAAATATATATGTTGCATTAAAGATCATTAATAAAAACATTTTTAATTTTATTTTTATGTGAGTGTACCGTCAAATCAGATATGACTGGTACAGGAGGAGACTGCCCCTCCTTCCCCGGCAGAGCATCTGGTGGAGTCGAACCGTGTGCCTCTCGGATTGTAGTTGCAGCTCCTTGCCACTAGGCCACCAGAGCTCCCCTAATAAAAACATTTTTTTAAAAGTCTTTTCATATACTATGTACACAAAAATAAATAAACAAACAAAACCCCAAAACATTATACAGCATGCGTGAACATGACTGTTCTTTAAAAGGCCTGCTTTGGTGACAGTTCATTGATTTGTGCTGTTAATCTAAGTACCAGACCTCTCTGAGGAGTCAAGTCCATCAGTGAGTTCGTGGGAGAAAGATGCATAATTTCCTCTCTTGTAATTTAAAGCCTCAGAAACCCAGTGGAGGGTCAACTCTGAGTTAGTTTTGACTCACAGCAATGAATTAGAATGTTTTTTTAAAAGATGCTTTTCGTGGTTCAAATCCACCTGATTCTCCACCAGAAAAAGAGGGGCAAATACCAGTTGGATCTGATGCGATGGTACACATACAAAAAAATAAAAATAATAAAAAAATATTCTTAGGACATTATCTTTTATTACTCTGTGTGTTATACCCAAAGCTAAGCCACTACCATGAAGTTGATTCCAGCTCACAGTTATCCTCCGTCAGGTTTCTGAGGCTGTGAACCTTTACCGTAGGAAACTGCTTGTCTCTGCCTGCAGGATGCTGGTGACTCTGAACTGCCATCCTTCCCGTCAGCAGCACAACACATAAAATACGATTCCACCAGGGCTCCTTGTATGGTCATAGAGAAAATTCTTTTCTCCATTATTTAACACTGTACTCTTTATACATTTGTCTAAAAGTGTACTCTCAGCCTTTTCTTAGAACATTGACCCTTCATCTTTGCTCTTCTTTTGAGGTGGAGGCAGAGAAAAAGATTCTTTAAATTGTAGAAACAGAAAGGGCCCTGTGGAGTCAATTTAATATGAGATGTTGTTCTGAAATGTGAATGAGCAAACTCTGGCCCAACGTGGTCAAGAAGGCAGAGAACCACACTGTGGCTCTCTGCCCTTTGTCCATGTAGCCACGTGGCTCACTTCTTCACACATCGCTGTGGTAATGTCACCATAACAGAAGGGCCTTCTCTGTTCAGTCTCTGTAACAAATGCCTCTCCTGTCCATCCTCATCCTTGCTCATCTAAATGAGTAATTCTAGAGATTATTCTATTATTAATTATTATAGATAATTCTAGAGCACAATCGCTGCCTGTCTGGTGTCTGGTGGTAAGTTTGGTGGTAAGTTTATTTATCTGTTGGTTAACTATCACACTCATTGGTCTTCTTAGGAAACATTTTAAATGAAATTCGTGATTTTGCCTTGATCATACTTGGGATCTAGAACAACAGAACTTGTTCAACAATAGAATAGATCAACAATTCTGGAAAGCACTCAAAATGTGCCTGTCCCTGTGAGATCTCTGAAGAGTACATGGAGGTGCAGAAGATGTTCAATACATATAATCTTCTCTCTAGAACAACTGAATGAGTCATCATCTTATGGCCAATGTTTGAAGAGAAGCTCTTAAAGTCAGGTCATGAAACAGTGAATTACTGTCTTAGTCTTATGTCTGATTTTTGACATCTGTATCGTACTTACAGAGAAGACATCTGTACCACCAAATTCCAGAAACAAGGAAAGAAGCTTTGTCTCTAAACTACTCTTCTTTGTTTTCTCTGTCCCATTAGTTGAGAGAACAAATCAACTCAAGAATCAGTTCAATGCATTGAAATTTGGCTCAGAGAAGATAGCCGTGCCAAGGTGCTTTGTGCTCGAGTCGGGCCAGGCAAGAATACCTGCACTTTGCCCATCACTTCCCTATTCTTTGGTAGATTGTACAAAAATGGACACACACTCTTCTCTTCCCTCTCCATAACCTTTTACAGTGTGACATTGCATCAAGACTCAAGCTCATCACTGTGGAGCTAGAACCAACTTGTAGCTGACCCTCCAGCATGTGTTCAGCAGCTATAAATCTCACAGAAATAACCGAAACATTCAGGACAGGAAAGGTTTAGGGGGTACAGAGGGACGTATGCATCGCAGGCGACTCGATGGCACATAACAACAATAACATACTATGACACGTTTGGAAGCAGGAGTGGCATCCACTTCCTAAACAACATGCCTCCGGAAACTCTATGAACTTTGATAAATGTTGATAGTTATAGAAAGGCTTTTGTTCATAGGGTTGCTATGAGTCGTGCTTGACTCAAAGGCAGTCAGCAACAACATAAATCTCACAGCAGGATATTGCTCCTGTGGTGTGGCTGGTGGATTTGAACAGCCAGAGACATGCCACTTTGGGGTTAACAGCTCAACTCCCTGCCTTTTAAACTATGAGAGAAGAGAATCTTATTTCTCTACCTCTGGAATTTGGCCTTGACCACAGAACATGAGCAGGCATGATATAAGCAGAAGGTTGAAAACAGCTTATACTTTGTAGTTTGGCTCTCTGGATGCTCTTGGGAACCTTGTCACAGTCACCATGTGAACAGACCTGGACTAGACTACTGGTGAATCCCTGGGCGGTGCAAACAGTGGGCTCAGCTGCTAATTCCAAAGCTGGAAGTTTGAGTCCACATAGAGATACGTCAGGAGAAAGGCTTATCGACCTACTTCCCCCAAAAATCAGTCACTGAAAACTACTGAGCACAGTTCCACTCTACCTCACTTGAGGTCACCATGATTTGCTATTGATTTGAAGGTGCCTATGTAGGTTTCCAGGAGATAGATGAGTGAGATGTGGACCAGCAACTTCCAGTGCCCCCAGTTAGTGAGTTTTCAGACAAATGAGTGAGGCCATCAGCTGCAGGTTGATAGGATACAAATGAGTGAGTTCAGCTGAGACCACATCTGAGCTGTTCCAGGCAAGGTCAGTTCTCATGGCAACTCACAGAACTAGAGCAAGAAATGGTTGCTGTGATAAGGCATTAAATATGGGGGTGATATATTAGTAATAGAAACTAACTGATACAAGTTCAAGTTGTTGTTGATTGCCTTTGAGTTGAGCATGACTCATAGCGACCCTGTGAACAATGGTCTGAAGCCCCTTGACAACTATCAACATTTATCAAAGTTCATAGAGTTTCCAGAGATATGTTGTTTAGGAAGTGGATGCCACTCCTGCTTCCAAACCTGTCATAGTATGTTATTGTTGTTTGCCATTGAGTCTCCTGCGATGCATAACGACCTTACGTAAAGCAACTCTGAAACCTTCTATGTCCTAAGCCAGTCTTCACTGTGCTTTAAAAAAATTGATATCAGTAAAAAAAATAAAAAAGTGATATAATAATCTTAAATTTTTAAAATTAATATATGTATGTATATATATAATATGTATGGGGAGAGATAATATATCACATTTTTATTAGGTGCTGTGCAGTCAATTATGACTCGTGGTGACTCTACGAATGACAGATGAAAATCTGAACCTAAGCGATCTGGCTCCATCCTCATGTTCTCTGCCACGTTCAAGGCCACTGTTGCAGTTCACTGTGTCGATCTAGCTTTTGAGGGACTTTTTCTCTTTCATTTGACACTCTACTTCTCCAAGCATGGAATTATGACTGATTTTTATTTAATCCTATTTACTGTTTTTAAATTAATTTATTTATTTTTCATTTCAATGAACATCTACAGAGATTTTGGAATTCCATTCATTCATTGTTGCACTTTTCTCCCCGCCCACCCCACCTCTAACCCCCCATCCTATTTACTTTTCTGAGTTTGTAAAAGTTTCTACAGTGGAATCTACAATCTCTATAAAGGAAAATCCAAAGTGCTTGGGCAGATGTTTCTGTCTGGTGTCTGATCATTCCCGGACAAATACGGAGGAGGGCTGGCTCCATTCACTCCAGAGCCAGTGCCTGTGGTGGGAGTAAGAACTTAGTAGTGAAAATCAATGCTCCAAAGCCCTCCAAGGAACTAAGCACTCCTTACAATACTGAATCATCATTTCATTCTTAGGGTTGATGTGTTTCAGCAGAATCTTCTGAACAGGCTGCAGTAATGGGAAACATGGAAATCTGAGGCCAGAACCACATGAGTGTGCTGGACATATTCTAAATATCTTCCCTGCAGGTCCACTTTCTTCCTTTCTTTAATCTCTAGGGTGTGGGGCTGCCTTTTGAGGACTGTGATGACTCTCACCTGGGGTCGGCCAATGGGGAACACAAGTAGGAGCTGGAAAGGAAGTAGCAAAAGGAGATTTTTTTGCCCCTCTCAGTTCCCATCTTATAGGTCCATGGTAGTCTGTTCTTCACTACAGATCAAAGGGCACATCTCTTCATACAAACATCTCTATTTCCAGATTCTAGTACTAGTACCTCTTCATGGTGGTAAGAGTGGAACTCTATTCAGAAGTACAATATTAATCCTATGCAATATTCCTCACGATTTCACTAGACCTTTACAATGTGTATTTACCAAAATCTCTCCAAATTACTGGAGTGGAATTGGTCATTTGTTTTCTGCAGACACTCTGAGAGGTATACAAACACGCATATCCACCACAGTTAAGGTGGACATAGTCTTGGAACAGTCAGCGTTTCTTCTCCAGAAGAAATAAGAAGATAGATGAAAAGAAGTTTCCATTACTTCCTACACGATTGTTAAGGCGGAAGATTATTAAATTCAGGTCACAGGTAACTCTGACTAACAGGATGACACAGAGTATGGTAATTTCCTTCTAAGTAAGTCTTCTGGGAAAGGCAATGACTGATTTGTGACTAAGAAAAATGAGAATGATGAGAAAGTGTTTTTAGGAGGACACGGCCCACAACAGACAACGTGATAAAGCAAACCATGGAGGGGCCACACTGGGCACTCTTACCCGGCCATCACTGGTCAGGAGAATGGAGTCACTCTTGATGTCCCTGTGAATCACTCCTTGGTTGTGAAGGTAGGAGAGGGCTCTCAGAACTGACAGACAGACTGTAGCTATCTGCTCTTCATTCATCCTGGAAAGGAAAGGACATTTGAATGAGCAACTACAGGTTTAACAAGATCTCTGAGAAGGTTGAGAGGTAGGTTCTATGAGTTCTGGTAAACCATTTTCATGCATGGAAAATCTATAAGCAAGGAAAAGTAAAACTTTGGAATCGGACTCTTGAAACGTAAGAGGGTGCCAACATCACCAGCAACACCCTTGAAATTGAATTTGATGGACCAAACGTAGCTAAAGGAAAGATATTCCCATTGGATGGGGTTTGGGTCATCGCTATCAAAGGCCCTACAGAGAAGCAGGACCTCTGAAGTCCCACAGAGCGCCTTGCTGCCCGTGGAGCTGTGCTGCCAAGTGTATCTGTCAGGCAGACCTGAGCAAGGACGTTAATTTCCTCTGCTCTCTGCTTCTTCAGTTTGGAAGAAGAATGACCACAGTTCTCCCTAATGCTGGTGTTAGGCAAATGGTCTTTGGATATCTAAATACCCACTTCCCCTCCTGAGCCTTCTGCCTTCCCCCTGCCCACCCTCAAAATCCTGCCTTTTCCTTTTCCCAGGAGAGAGAGGTTTGTGTTGTTTTAGGTCTGTCTTATTGAAAGGAAACTGGCCCTTTGAGTTAGCAAAAACTACAGAATTCCTGGATGGTGCAAACGGTCAATATGCTTGGCTGCTAACTGAACTGTTCACTATTTGGGTCTAACCAGAAGTACCTGTGAAGAAAGATTCAACTCAGCTAAATTAATTGTTACTGAGTAGGAATCCATTCAAAGGTTACCATCCTGGGATAGTTTTTGAGGCTGTAAATTACATGGGAAGAGATTGCTCATCTCTTCCCTAAAAAGTTGCTGGTGGATTTGAACCTCTAAAAAGGCAGGGCCTTTGGGTCACCAGTATACCTCTCTATACACTATGCCACCAGAGCTTCCTTCCAGAGTGGCCACTGAAAACGCATTCAATTCAACTCTGACATAAACGGAGTCACCATCAGTTGAATTCAACTGAGAGCGACTGACCATGATTACAAGCTGAAATAATTTACTTCACTTATTTCATTATTGTTGAGAATACGTACAATGAAACACTAACACTTTTTAATTCATGAGCCGTGGAGAGAAGAAGACTGAGCTCAAGACTGTCTATTCATGGCCACATTTCCCACTGCTCCTCCTTAATGACAGCATTCCGGGTTCAGGGAAGGACACTGAGGCCAGGCGACTTGCCTAAGATGACACTTCTCTGAGTGGTCCGGTCACAGTTCAAACCTCACCTCCTTTTTAGTTGAAAACCCATACCTTTCCTTTTCCCACTGTACCATGCTATCTTGAAGCTCAGAAATGAATTTTTCTAATGAGTTTTCACTCTTAGTTTAGCTACAGGGAAATCCTCAAATAATCCACACTCATTGCTGTTGAGTCAGAACCTACTGATTGCTGATCCTCCACTGGGTTCCAAGGTGGTAAATCTTGGCAGAAGACCGACCATCTTTCTCCTGTGGAGCTGCTGCTGCTTCAGACTGCTAGAGGGGCATGGCCATTGGATTAGCAGCGCAACTCTCTACAGAGGAGGCCACCAGAGCTCACCACTGGAGGAACCTGCACTGCTGGATTCATTTAGGCATCTGCCTTACTCCTTCACATGCGTAACTTCCTTCCTATCACAGAGACACTGTAAGACCCCATGGTGATAACACAAGTAGGAGTGCTCCTGGAATGGGGTGCTCCTGGGATGGGGAGATCCTGGGATAGGGAGATCCTGGGATGAGGAGCTCCTGGGATGGGAATTTCAGAAAATGGTGAGTTCACAGGATGGAGAGCTCCTGGGATGAGGAACTCCTGGGATAGTGAGTGTTATGTATTCACTTGACTAGGCCAGTTGTTGAGTCACACATTGATCTGAAAGAGAGAAAGAGAGA